GGTTTCTATAGGGCTGGGGGAGGGCTATGGGGTTTCTATGGGGCTGAGGGGAGCTATGGGGTTTCTATAGGGCTGGGGGTGTTTATGGGGTTCCTATGGGGCTGGATGGCGCTCTATGGGGTCACTGCACGGCTGTGTGTGGGGGGGTTTCTATGGGGTCCCCTCCCCCAGACCCCCATTACTGCCCCATTTTTTTTCCCTCGCACCCCCCACATTTGGGATCGGGGGTCTAGAGGGGGGGCGGGACTTCCGGTGTCGCCCCCTGAATTTCCGGTCCCCGCCCCCCCGCAGGGTGTTCGGGCTGGCGATCGTCTCCACGTCGCTGCTCAACATGCTGCTGCCTTCCGCCGCACGCACGCACGTGGGCTGCGTCATCGCCGTGCGCGTCATGCAGGGCCTGGTGGAGGTGAGCGCCCATTGGCTGCCGGCACCGGAAAAGACGGGGCAAAGCGCCTCATTGGCTGCAGGAACCGGAAAGGGCGGGGCGAAATGCCTCATTGGCTGCCGGCACCGGAAGGGGGCGGGAAGAAGGGTATGATAGACGGCGGGAAGCAAAAGGGGGCGGGGCGAAGCGCCTCATTGGCTGCAGGCACCGGAAAAGGGCGGGAGGAAGGGCATAACAGCGGGAACTGGAAAGGGGCGTGGCGAAGTTCCTCATTGGCTGCCGGCACTGGAAGGGGGCGGGGCGAAGCGCCTCACTGGCTACTGGCACCGGAAGGGGGCTGGGTGAAGCGCCTCATTGGCTGCCAGCACCAGAAGAAGGCGGGACGAACCCCCCTCACCTTTTCCCCCATGCTCGGATGCGATTGGGTGCGACTGGTTGCTCCGCCCTACTCAGGAGCTGATTGGATGATGTGCCGCCTTGCCCCGCCCACTCATTAATCCCATTGGGTGGCATTTTACTATGTCCCGACTCCTGATGATCCCATTGGGTGGCTTTGCTCTCCGTTAATCTCATTGGGAGATGCCTCTGCTTTGCTCCGCTACCACACGGATCCGATTGGTTGGCATTCCGCTTTGCCCCGCCCCTCAGTGATCCCACTGGGTGGCTCCGCCCATGCATGCTTCCCATTGGTTGGCTCCTTCCCCTCGATCGATCCCATTGGGCGACACCACTTTGCCCCGCCCCCATACCCCCCCTCCCATTGAGTGACGGCCCACACGGCTCCGCCCACACGCGGCTCCCATTGGGTGAGGCCCCACGTGGCTCCGCCCACCCATCGATCCCATTGGTTCCCTGTGCCGACGCACGGCTCCCATTGGCCCGTTTTTAGGGGGTGACGTACCCGGCGTGCCACGGCATCTGGAGCAAATGGGCGCCGCCCCTGGAGAGGAGCCGCCTCGCAACGACGGCGTTCTGCGGTGGGCGGGACCGGAAGGGGCGGGGACCGGAAGGGGGCGGGGACCGGAAGGAGCGGAGCAAATTCAAAGGCGGGGGTTATGTGGGGACGGAGCCAGGAAGGACCGGAAGGGGGCGGGGCCACAATACGGGGCGTGGCCTCAGGGGGGCGGGGTTTGTGTGGGAGTGGAAGGAGGGGGGCGGAGCCTGAAATGGGCGGGGTTTGGGAAGCCGGAAGTGGGCGTGGTTGAAGTGGAAAGGGGCGGGGCCTCAGGGTGGCGGTCAAGCTGATTGGGCGGGGTCGGAGAGTGGGAGGGGCATTGAGGAGAGCACAGCCAATGGGAAGAGAGGGTTAGGGGAGGGGGCGTGGTTTCTAGAGGGGCTGGGGGGGGTTATGGGGTTCCTATGGGGCTGGGATGGTCTATGGGGTTTCTATAGGGTTGGGGG